ACAAAACAAAACAAAAAAAACAAAAAAAGAAAAATAAAAATAATAGCCATTCTAACAGGTGTGAGGTGATAGCTCATTGTGGTTGTGATTTGCCTTTGTCTGATGAGTAGTGATGTTGAGTACCTTTTCATGTGCTTATTGGCCATCTGTATGTCTCCTTTAGAAAAATGTCTATTCAGATCTTCTGCCCATTTTTTTTTTAAACTTGGATTGTTTGCCATTGAGTTGTAAGAATTCTTTATATATTTTGCTTATTAGTTCCCCTATCAGATATGAGTTGCAAATATTTTCTCAGATGTAGTTAAGTTTATGTTTGAATTTTCTATTTTGTTTTATTGATCTATGTACTCATGTGCCAATACGATCTTATTATTATACTGGCTTTATAATGTCGTATTAACTGGTAGGCACATTTTCTTCTTTTTCAGGGCTTTCCCAGATATTCTTGTTTCTGCAGCCTTTTAAATGAACCATATAGGTTAACTCAAAGTGTTAAAAATATGGCTTTGTATTATTTTAATTTTTTTTGGCAGTTTTGCACCTTTTTTAAAACTTTAGATTCAAAGGAGAAGACATAAAAGAGTTACATGATATTCACTGGTGATAATTAAGGGGACTGATGAGGGAAATCTCTGGGATTAGATAAAAAGTAAAAAAAAATAGACACAAACTTCTTTTTAAGATGTTATTGAATAGTTAACAGTTAATATTTACCACCACAACAATAATAATCGGTTCTCTCTGGTCTTCTGTGCTTGGAGACTGTGCCCTTAGGATTCTGTAAAAAAGGAAATTTACCTGAAAATCCAAAGGTATGTTATTCTAGATGCAAAAATAGACAGGCTCAATAAGTTTGACCTCTGCAAAAACACACACACACAAATACAAACACACACACACAAACAAAAAAACCCCAAACAAGGCTAGGACATAACTAACACTGTGACTTGATTTTACTTTAACTTCAAACCATCCAACAGGGTTCTTTTGGCCTCTGAGTTTTGTTTGTTTGTTTGTTTTTTAAAATATATTTTATTGATTTTTTACAGAGAGGAAGGGAGAGAGATAGAGAGCTAGAAACATCAATGAGAGAGAGTCATCGTGCAGCTGCCTCTTGCACCCCCCCCCCACTGAGGATATGCCTGCAACCATGCCCCTGACTGGAATCGAACCCGGGACCCTTCAGTCCGCTCTATCCACTGAGCAAAACCAGTTTCGGCTGGCCTCTGAGTTTGTAAGATTTGGCCTTGTACGTTTTTATTCCGTCCTCCTCTGTTTTGTTCCCCCACTCCTGTCCAAACCTTCTCTTTCTTTTCCCCCTAATAGCCTTCTTCTGGACAATTTGAATCCTCCTCCCAGAAGTTTTCTCTCAGAGAAAGCATTTTCTGTATTTCATGTAACATTGTTTTGAAATCACTAATTCAGTTGCTGAATAGGTATGGGATTTTGGTCAAAACTATCCTCGTATTTTTTTCATCTATATCGATACATTGTAAATGAAAAATAATCTATTTCATAGGTTTCTATGGGTTTTATTCTGTTCTTCACAGCTACAAATAATTGTCAGTCAGGCCTCAGTCCTACCTATCAGGAGAATTTGACTAATTTAATCACTCCCCTAAAACACATTCTTCAACTGATGTCTCTGATACCTCATTCAACCACTTTTCTTCCTAATTAACGTGCTTCTCCTGTCCTACTCTTTCAATGTTTCCTCCTTATCCCCTAAATATTGGAGAACCTCAGAAGTCAGATTTCAGACCTTTTTCATTTAAACTCACTCTTCAGTAAGATATGTACACAGATAATAATTTAATAAAAAATAAAAAGGAATAAAAAGAATAAAATAGCAAAAAATAAAAAAATAAACTCACTCTTTAAGTGAGTTTCTACAACCCTATACATGTAAATATCCCAACAACTCCCAAATTTTATATCTCCCACCTGGACCTCTACTAGGCACTTAAAATGTGTACATCTAACTGCTTTCCTATCAACTCCCTCTGGATGTCCCAAAGGTATCTCGGTCTTAACTTACTCCTAACTAACTCTAATATTCTTCCCCAACCCTGTTTCCCCTGCCGTCTTCCCAATCTTAGTCAACGACAATTCTGTTCTCGTAGCTCAGGGAAACATTCTCCCTCTGTCCTCCAGTCCACCTGCCCCTGGGTTCGCTCCTGGGGCCACCATGGCAGCCCAGCTGGGCTGGCTGGAGTGACTCGGACAGCTGGGCTGCTCTCTACCAGGTCTATCTCAGGCGTCTTCAGATCCCGGCTTCTTTGTGATTCCTGGAGGGCAAGTTCCAACAGGCAAGCACTTCTTACATCTCTTCTCGATTCACAGTTTCTAATGTATTCGTTTGAATTCAGTGTCTTTACTATTTGGAGCAAGTTAAGTACTGAAGAACACGGATGGTGAAATAACTGTGCTGGGCACAGTTTGGCAGCTCCTTACTCGTTCGTAATCAACAAACTTTAGCCAAGCTTCAGTTAGCTGGCATTTTGTGAGGGCCGTAGACGTGACCACAGCACTCCGCGTTTCCTCCCAGTGACAGGATGATTCTTCGGCTATTTTTGTCTTGTGTCAACATTTTTTTTCCAACCCGAATTTCCTCAGGATTTGCTTTCAGGTCTCTGTGGTAGCGAAAACCACAAATGTTCCCAGCTTTGGAGATTAGAAGTACTGTCCCTATTCCTTTAGTTTTTTCCAGTGTTTTGCAACCTGTACTTTTCCAGACCTTTTCATTCTTTGATTGGTTCTTTTTCTTAAATTTTCTAATCTTTTCAAGTTCTTTTTCTTAATCCCTTACTTTGCTTTCCTTGGATTTTTAAAATATATTTTTGTTGATTGTAAGAGAGAGGGAGAGTTAGAAACATCGATGAGAATCATCAATCAGCTGCCTCTTGCACACCCCATACTGGGGATGTGCCCGCAACCAAGGTACATGCCCTTGACCAGAATCGAACCCGGGAACTTTCAGTCTGCAGGCTGACACTCTATCCACGGAGCCAAACCGGTTTCAGCTCCTTGGATTCTTTTGATGTCCTTTTTCTATGCCAAATGAATGTTTAATTCATTTATTTTCTTTCCTTCTTGTAATGAATATATATGAGCTGTTACATTTTTTTTCTGTGTATTGCACTGTCTACATATTAAATCCATTCACCCAGCTCCGATTCACCAGTGAGCACTCTTTCCTTTTACCATTCCTCTCTGAAATAATTTCTCTCTTTGAAAGTAACATTCCTGGGCTACTCATTCGGCAACCTCTGTGGAGTATGGCACTGGGTTCTGCCTTAGCATAGTGTCCTGGCACACGTAAGTGACAATAATGATGAATAACCTTTATTGAGCTGTTACCCTTTATACTTTACACACATTTTAACAACTCAGTACTGATCTTCCATGGCCTTTTCACAGAGGAAATGTGTACTGGAAGTCTGTCCTGTGTTTCTATTCCTGAAACATGCCAAACCTTCGGTTCTAGGGCCTTTCCCCCTTACCTGTGTTGCTGTCCTCCCATCTTCTAATTCAGGACTCAGAGCAAATGCCACTTCTTCCAAGCCTGGGATGGATCTAAAACAGCCCTCTCCCCCAACACTTTCACACATTTATTTTGTTCATTGCACTAACTCATATTCTCTTGCTCATTTATTCTTTTCCTTGTTATAATCTGCTTGCCTTCCCCACTAGACTTTAACCTCCAAGGAGCAGAAATTTTGTCTTGGGCACCACAGCATTTCCAAGGCCCTTAGAACAATAGCTGGCGCGTAATAACCACTGAATATATATTTGTGGAATCAACGCATTGCCAAAGGCAAACAACAGAGTGGCAGCTAGTTCTTTGAGGCTATGTTAAGTGCAGCAGCTACTTTTGAATCTGAAGTTGTGAAAGTATGACTTCTATGAAAATCACCCCTCAATAGATGTGTGGCTTAAGGCACCTCGCTCCATTTCAACTGGGTTTCCTCCCTGTGAAATGAGGAGGAAGGCCCTTGTCACTTATTTTCATCTATTTGGGATTCTACACAGAAAAAAAAGTACCTTAAAAACCAGGATTTGCAGAAACCGGTTTGGATCAGTGGATAGAGCATTGGCCTGTGGACTGAAAGGTCCCAGGTTCAATTCTGGTCAAGGGCATGTACCTTGGTTGCAGGCACATCCCCAGTAGGGGGTGTGCAGGAGGCAGCTGATGGATGTTTCTCTCTCATTGATGTTTTTAGCTATCACTCTCCCTTCCTCTCTGTGAAAAATCAATAAAATATATTTTAAAAAACAAACAAACAAACAAACAAAAAACCAGGTCGAGCAAGAGGAGGAGCAGGTGCTTTTAAGGTAGCTCAGCAGCAAAGATGGGCGGGGGAGAGAGAGGGCAGAGGAGTGGAGCAGAGTGCAATGACTGTTGAGGAGCAGGGGCGAGTCCGGGGACTCTGAGAGCGGAGGGGCAAGGGTGGGGGTGAGGCTGGGCACAGAGGTGGGGAGAAGGGGGTGCAGAATGGGGAAGGCACAGGGTGGGGGGGGGGGGAAGGAGGGGCGTCTATCCAGCTGGGGTGGGCAGGAACGCACCTGGCGAGGGTGAGAGGAGAGGGGCGGGTAGAAGATGCTGGGGGTGCGGTGGCATCCAGCACCCACCCTGCGCGGAGGGACGGCCAGAGAAAGGGCGGGGACGCACGCGCAGGGGTTGCCAAGAGCGCCACCCACCGGGCAGGCCGGGGCGGGGCGCCGGCAGGAGGCGAGGGCGGGTCTGCGGGACGGGTGGCGACTTGGGGTGGCCCAGGAGGCCTCGAGGGGGCTCAGGCGGTGGCGGACGGCGCAGTGGGTGCGGAGGGGCAGCCGGGGGACCAGACGGAAGTGGGTGGAGCGGGGTGCGGAGGGCGCAGGTGGGCGCGGCGGGCGGCGGGGCGGGCCGCGGGGCGGGCCGGGCGTGGGAAGCGGCGCCCGGGTCAGCGCGGGGCGGGCGCAGCGGGGCCGGCCGGCCGCGGGAGGGGCGCCCGGTGCCCGCCGCCACTTCCGGGAGCGCCGGGCCGCGCCGCTGGTTGTGCTGTCAGCGCCGCGGGCCGCGGGGCCGGACAATCGGGGGCCCGTCCCCTCCCGGCGCCATGGGGGCGCCCGCGCGGCTGCTGCGCGCAGTGATCCTGGGGGCGCCGGGCTCCGGCAAGGGCACCGTGTCGTCGCGCATCACCCAGCACTTCGAGCTCAAGCACCTCTCCAGCGGGGACCTGCTCCGCGGCAACATGCTGCGAGGCACAGGTGGGGCCGCGGGGCGCGGGGCCTGGGCCGGTGTGGGATCTTGGGGGGCTGGTGGGGGGGGGGGTGCGCGTGCGGGCGCAGCGTGTGGACAGCTGCAGGCGGGCTAGGGGGGAAGGAACGAAGAAGTTGGGGGAAGTAAAAGTTCAAAGGGAACCCTTTGGGAGGCAGGTCCAGCCCGGGTCGCAGCTGCTCCTAAGAGTCCATCGAACTGGGGCTTATTCTCCACGTGCCCTTGCGTCTAAAACACCTTCCTTCCTTCCTCCCTCCCTCCCTTCCTTTCTTCCTTCCTTCCTTCCGTCTCCTTCCTTCTGTCTTCTCTTCTCTCTTCTCTTCTCTTCTCTTCTCTTCTCTTCTCTTCTCTTCTCTTCTCTTCTCTTCTCTTCTCTTCTCTCTCTTCTTCTCTCTCTTCTTCTCTTCTCTTTCTTGGTTAACTCAATGGGATTTTTTTCTGATTCTGACCCTTGCCCCATAATCTGAAGGCAGAGCACTCTTTGCCCTCATTGCAGTCACACAGTTGGCATACATCTTGGATACCCCCAGAGATTTTTTTAGGCACAAAAGCTATTCATGTGAGTGGTAATCTGAAAGGTTGTTTTGTTCTCATGCCAAAAAAGTTTTTATAACTCAGCACGAAATCCTGTGAAAAACAACAACAAACTGTACACTTGACAATGAATCGACTTTATGTAAATTATAGTTTAAGAAGGCTGTTTTCCAAAAGTCAACATTGGGGTGAAGTGGGTTCCCCCCTCCCTTCCCCTCCAAAGTGCTGATCTTTCTTTTCCAAAATAGAACTCATTTTGAAGCTCATTAAAAAAAAAAAAAAAAAAAAAAAAAAATTACAGCCCTAGCTGGTTTGGCTCAGTGGGTAGAACGTGGGCCTTGGGACTGAAGGGTCCTGGCTTCCATTCTGTTATAGTCAAGGGCACATGCCCAGGCCCTGGGCTCCATCCCCAGTGGGGCGTGGGCAGGAGGCAGCAGATCACTGATTCTCTCTCATCATTGATATTTCTCTCTCCTTCTCCCTCTCCCTTCCCCTCTGAAATCAATACAAATATATTAAAAAATAAATTACAGAAGTAATGCCTGCACAAGGTTAAAAAAAAAAAGGGAGGGGGGGGTAGGGATTAGAAACAGGACAGAAGCCTGGCCATGGGGAGGGGACATGGGCGGTTGTCCAGCCTGCCTGCTGGTCGAACTCCTGGTCGAAGGGACAATTTGCATACTAGCTTTTTATTATATAGGAAATACACCAAGTGGACAGATTATTATGCGCTCAGAGATCATAATAATCTGACCACTCAGTATATATGTTTTCTGTACCAGTGTGTTATCATTTTATGTCTGGATTATCTTTCCACATGACAACATAGACATCTCTTTCATCCTTTAAGTATCTATTTGCGGAATCTACTATAATTTATTTAATGGCTCCCCTATTGATGAACATGTAGAATATTTCTAAGTGGAATTTGTTTATTTCAAAATACTGACATTTAAATTAAAAAAAAAAACAACCACTCCAGGGTTTTTAGTTTGTGTCTTGGACTTCAGTTCAGCTGGTGAATTACTACTTTTATTTTTCTCTTCTTAACATGGATCTTTTTTCTTTTTCTTTTTTTCCCCTTTTTTTAAAAAAAGGTCATACAGTATTTTGTAGTTAATTCTACTTCTTCAAACTATTAAGTTGCTTGGCTCCCTATGTGTTCTTGATGCAACATTCTGAAGTAGTTATGTAACAATAAGCAGTCTCCAGGACTGCCCCCAGTTGGAAAGGAGTAAAGAGAATCCTTAAGCAACTTGCTGAAAAATAAGTCAGCATTGACGCATAACTGTGCAGTTAAAGAACATCTTCAGTGGAGCTAAGGATATGTTAGTTTGTGAAAGCACAAAACGGTAAAAGAAATAAAGCGAATAAGTAAACGTTTTAAAACTCAAAAACAATGTTCTTTGTCCTTAACCTCCCTGACCCACCTCCTGTCCTCCTTCCGGCTCCACATAAAGAGAGAGGCGAGAGGGAGGGAGGAGAGGATCACTAGGAGAGATGTGCTTACCTCAGGCATCTGTTTTCTCTGGAGTCTTTTCAGGGAATTCTTTATCAAGGAAAACAGAAAGTGGAGTTTAGGGAGGTGTCCTGAGATTATTATTACAGGTGTTTTGTTTCTCAGCACCAAGAACGTATTCTCAATAAATATTTGTGAATGGATTCGATATTTCCCAGACACAAAAGAGAGATGCTATCATTTATTTAAAAAAATAAAATACTGCTTTGGCCCAGCGGTGTGGCTCAGTGGTTGGGTGTCAGCCTATGAACCAGGAGGTCACGGTTCCATTCCCGGTCAGGGCACAGCCAATCAATGGATTCTCTCTCTATCATTGATGTTTCTCTCTCTCTCTTCCTTCCTCTCTGAAATTGATTAAAAAAAAAAAAATACTCTTTTGCTGTTGCTCAGAAGGTTAAGTGCCAGGTTCCATGCACTGAGAGGTTGCTGGTTTGATTCTTTAAAGTGGCTCAGCCTTTTAATTTAATAAGCCATCATGTTTATAAATTAAAGGTTTGTTTTACCAGTTATTTTTTTAAATACACTTTGAAATGAAATTTTTATTGGTTTTTAAATTAGAATTTTATTTTTATTTGAGACAATATTTTTTCTATCTAAAATTATCTCATGAATTTCAATGTAGTAAATGCTGCATGGAAAGTGTAATTTAATTGGCACCCGAGAGACCTGGGTGTTCACCTTTGTCCCCAGTAACTGCTATGTTTTATTGAGCAAGTTCTTTTACCTCTCCTGAACTCAGTTCCCTCGTCTTTAAAGGACTAATGTCTAAGGGTCAAACTCCAGTTTCTTGACTCCAGGGCACAGCTATAAGCTACTCCAGGTTTGCTACTGTCCACTTGTTGCATCGTGTTTTCCAGGTCTTACATCTGCTGGGATGATTTTAAACTTCAGCTATACAATACAGCCATGGGTTTTAAAAATACTCCCATGAAGTGGCGTTTGGAAAGTGCCATACCTCTATGTAGCAGTATTTGATGGTACCATAGTTATAGAAATTCCACACTAGGGAATTTACTTGAAGGACATAGCAGAGATGTTGCCAAATATTCATGTGCAAGGATGGTCATGATAGTGTCCTACCTAATAAAGAGGGAATATGCTATTTGACTGCCACGCCTCTCAGCCCTGCCAGGGTGGCAGGCACCCAGCAAGGCCAGGCCTGCCCCCAGGCGGGCCAGGCCCCTCCACACACCTGCCTCTGGAGTCCCCCAGTCCCCTCAGCCCCCCAGCCGCCCAGGGCCGCCCAAGGCTGAGGTAACCAGGGCTGGCTGAGGCTTGTGCTGCCAGCAGTGGCGGCAGCAGAGGTGTGATGGGGGCGTCACCTTCCGTTGATCGCCCGGTCGCCTCTTGCCCCTGAGGGCTCCCAGACTGTGAGAGGGGGCAGGCCGGGCTGAGGGACCCTCCCCCCTCTATCCAGTACATGAATTTTCATGCACCAGGCTCTAGTTTTTTATAGTAAAGAATGATTAACAACATAAATGTCTGATAACAGGTAAATGTTTAAATTAATAATTGTGCAATCGTTTTTTGTTGTTGTTAATCCTTCCTTGAGGCTATTTTTCCATTGATTTTTTTAGAGAAAGTGTAAGAGGGAGGAAGGGAGGCAGAGAGAGAGAAAGAGAGAGAGAGAGATGGGAGAGACACATTGATTGGTTGCCTTCACTGGTGATCGAACCTGCAACCCAGGTCCATGCCCTTGACCGAGAACTGAACCTGGGACCCTTTGATGCTTTAACCACTGGGCCACACTGGCTAGGGCAATAATTGTGCAATTTTGATGAAACTAAATATTTTAAAGATTGTTTAATGATGTGTGAACATGCTCACAATAAATGAAGAAAAAAGGTATCAGCAATAATTTAGAATATAGCATAACTGCAAACACATATATGCAGCAAAGAAGAAAATAATATAAGAAAAATCAGCAAAGGTTTCATTACAATTATTTCTGGGTGGTGAACTTACAGGGGATTTTAATTTTCTTTTAGAACATTTTCATTATCCCCAAAAGAAACCTCATACTGTTTAGCGGTGACTCCCATTCCCACTTTACCCCATCCAACCTGTGCCACTGGCAACACTAATGTACTTTCTGTCTCAATTTTCTTACTCGAACATTTCATGCACATGGCCTCATACAGTACATGTTCTTTTATGTGTGGGATGATTTTTTTCCCCCACTTAGCATGTTTCCCAGGCTTACTATGTTGTAATGTGTATTGATACTTAACTCCTTTTTATTGCTGAATAATATTCCGTTGAATGGATATACTATTATACATTTTGTTTACCCTTTGATTTACGGACATCTGGATTGTTTCAACCCTTTCTGTTATTTTGTGGGTGCACTAAAGTTTGTTTAAATAGCTTAAAGAGCGTTTTTTAACAAGATGAACCTGATGATAAAATGCATTCTCCAAGAAAGCAGGCTTTTGCTAGAATTCCTGGGCATCAAGGCAGCTCATTTCTCCATCTGTCCGTCTATGGATTCATCAAGCACCTAATGTATGCTAGGTGCTTGGAGAAACAGAGACAAGTATATTTCACTTCAAGCATGTCAAACCCGAGGCCGCACTGAGAAGATGCTTGGGGATGCTCACAATTGGAATGTAGGCATGGGAGACAAGTGTCCGTGTGTCTTCTCAGTTTGCCATAAGAGAATACTATCGACGAGATGGCTTCGGCAACAGAAATGTATTTCCTCATAGTTGTGGAGGCTGGACGTCCAAGATCAAAGTGCTGACGGGGTTAGTTCCTGGGGTAGACTTCCTTCGTGGCTTGCGAAGGGCTGCCTTCTCGCTGTGTCCTCGTGTGACTTTTCCTCTGCTGCATCCTTTCTGGGTGTCTCTTCCTCTTCTTGTAAAGACAGCAGTCAGATCGGGTGAAAGCCCCGCATTCAGGAACGCATTTAACCTTAATTGTTTCCTTAGACGCCCCCTCTAAATACAGCTACATTGGAGGTTAGGGTTGCCACATATGGACCGAGAGGGGCACAGTGTGATCCATAATAATACATAAACAGCTCGTTTCAGCAGCAGCGTGATAGTGCTCCAGTGGAGACAAGTCTGCCCCATGGAAGTCCAAAGGAGGAACTTCCGGCTGTGTACGAGGTTGGAGGTTCGCATTGAAAGTCCCTGTAAGGGTGTATCTTGAAGGATGGGAAGAACTTACCAGGCAGCAGAGAAGAGACAGGCATACGCAGAGGCTAAGCGGACCCAGGGGATGCAGAGCTCCCTGCGAGGGGCATGGCTTGTGTGTTTGGTGGACACGGTGGGGAGAAGGGAGGGGGAGAGACATTCAAGCCGGACCCAGGGCCTTCACACAGTTCTTGAGTTGCATTCCTATCCTGAAGCAGACTGGGAAGCGGGGAGGAGTATAGAACTGGGATGGGAGCTCTCTCTAGGTCAGTGGTTCTTAACCTTCCTAATGCTGCGACCCTTTTAATTGGGGGTCACCACAACTGATCCTCATGTTGTGGTGAATCCCCAACCATAAGATTATTTCCGTTGCTACTTCATAACTGTAATTTTGCTACTGTTTATGAATCATAATGTAAATGTGATTTACCTAAGACCATTGGCCTTCCTTCCCCTGGCTGCCGGCACCGGTTTTCCTCCGGCACCTGGGACCCAGGCCTTCACTCTGGCCACAACGGAAAAGCCACGCCTCGAGGCCAGGCTTCTCCGCTCCGGCTGCAGTGAGGCCAGGCTTCTCCACTCCAGCCGCAGCAGAGAAGCCAAGCCTCTTCAGTCATCTTCAGTCTTCACTTGGGCTGGAGCCTTCAGTCTTCGCTCCATGTCTGTGTATGCAAATTTAACCCGCCATCTTTATTGGGTTAATTTGCATACTCACTCCTGATTGTCTGGTGGGTGTTGTAGAGGTACAGTCAATTTGCATATTTCTCTTTTATTGGTGTAGATAATCTTGTGAAATATCTCAGGCATGAGGGCATTACACTTGTTATGCATGGTTAGAAGAATAAAATGAAAGCCCATTTACCCCAGGCAGAAAAACAGCACTTTGGGGCCTCCCACTCTAACTCTACAGTCATATCTCCTTCCTTTCCCCAGAGGGAACCACTATGTTGACTTGAGTCTTTATTATTTGAGAAAGGTTTGTGTAAATCTTTGACAGGGTGTAAACTTATCATTTGTCTCATTCCCTGTCATTCTGAGAGTTTTGTTTTCTTTAGACATGTTTTTTCACCTTTAACATATACTTTTATTGATTTCAGAGAGGAAGGGAGAGGGAGAGAGAGAAACATCAATGATGAGAATCACTGACTGGCTGCCTCCTGCATGCCCCCTACTGGGGATGGAGCCCACAACCTAGGCATGTGCCCTTGACTGGAATCAAACCTGGGACCCGTTAGCCCACAGGCCGACGCTCTTATCCACGGAGCCAAACTATCTAGGGCTCTTTTGACATGTTTTAAAAATAAACTTTTATGTACTTGCTAAAAGTAATTTTGGCAGGAACCAGGCTAATTCTCTGTAGCCCTTGGCACATGTAAAAAGCAACTGCTATTCACAGGCTGGCCAGGCCCTCCTTTGTTCTCCATGGCTAACCAAACAAATTGCCTATTTATTTATTTTTCCAAACAAATTCAGACATGAGATGTGGTTGGTTTGGATAATATTATAAGAATGACCAAACTTTAAAAGGAGATGTAGAATTAAAAATGGCCACTGGGCTATGGTGTAAGAGTTCTTTAGGTATTCTAGATACAAGTTCTTTATCAGATCCATGTTTATATTAGGTCTAGTAATAATTAATGTCGTTTTCTAATACTTTTTTAAATCGTATTTAAACAATACAACAAAATTTAATCAACAATATAGTTGCTGTTGTTTTCTACTACTTGTGCCCAACACTCAGGAAGCATTTTAATCCCTCTGTTGTAAAATTCTTGTGACTTTGATGCAAAAAATTCGGTCAATGCATTTTTGAGGCATTCTTCATTATTAAATTTTTTTCCAAGAAGAAAGTTTTGCAAAGAATGAAATAAATGGTAATTGGAAGGGGCAATATCAGGAGAATATGCAGGTTGAGGGAGAACTTCCCATTCCAACTGGCGCAGTTTTTCAGCAGTGATTCTTGCAGTATGTGGTCGTGCGTTATCGTGGTGAAGAATTACACCCTTCTGATTAATCAGCGCGGGTTCTTTTTCTCTTAAAGCTTGGGCTAACCTTTCCAATTGGGCACTATACACTGCACTTGTAATGGTTTGGTTAGATGGTAAAAGTTCATAATGAAGAATTCCTTTAAAATTCCACCAAACACACAACATCACTTTTTTCGCATGCAAGTCAGGTTTTGGCGTGGGCTGCGGAGCCTCATTTTTGTCCAACCATTGAGGCCGCCTTTTCAAATTAACATACAGCACCCATTCTTCATCTCCGGTAACAATTTGCTCTAAAAACGGCAAACGGTTTTGACGAGAGAGGAGCGAACTGCAAATTGTGGCTCTTTGATTACGGTTGTTGTCGGTCAACTCATGAGGAACCCATTTTCCAAACTTTTGGACTTTGCCAAGTGCACGCAATTGATGGAAATTGTTTTTTGTGAACAATTTAAAGTTGTCGCAAGCTCTTGTTGGGTAATTTGAGGATTTTGCACCAAAAGAGCTTGAAGAGCTTCTTGATCAAAATTGGACACACGGCCTGGACCACTCTTGTCATCTAAAGAAAAATTTCCCTCGCAAAATTTCTCAAACCAACGCTGGCATTTTCTGGCGCTAACTGCATCTTGACCAAGACACTACAGATGTTTTTTGCAGCCTCACTTGCTTTTCTTACTAATTGGAACTCGTAAAGCATGCAGTGCCGAATATGCTCTTCATCCGCCATCTTCTTAGCCCTAGTTTTGCAACAAAAACCAAACCAAACACAAACTTTTTCAAGCAAAACTTGTTAGTTGCACTTCACACGTTCTGTAGATACCACGTGTTTGAAGATTATATCAATACAAGTCAATGCCAAGCAAGATTTTAAACGAATGTTTAAAACGACATTAATTATTACTAGACCCGATAAAAACGCTCTTCCATTCAGTGGGTTGTCTTTTCACTTATGTGATCGTTGCTGATTTGCTTTCCCCCCTCATTCTGCTGTAGAAATTGGTGTGTTAGCCAAGACTTTCATTGAACAAGGGAAGCTCATCCCCGATGATATCATGACTCGGCTGGCCTTGAATGAGCTGAAAAACCTCACCCAGTACAACTGGCTATTGGATGGTAAGTGATGTGTCACGAGCATTTCAGCGGCCCAGCATGAGTGTGGGCGGCAGAACGAGCATTTCCTGGGCTGCAGAGCCCTCATGGATGGTGGGCAGAGAGCCCGAGTTCCGCCAGTGCTCGCCCTGAGGCCTGGGCCAGTCGCCTTCTCTGGGCCTGCTTCTTCATCCGCGTGGGAGGGCTGTGGACTGCATGATTCCTAAGGCCCCTGCAGATGTGACCTTAGTTCCTAACCCTCTTTTGAGAATATTTTATGGCAAGGAGGATTACCACACAGGAAACCTGGAGGGTGACTTAAAATCAACTGTAAACTGGCAGAGGTGTGGCTGCATGGGTTGATTTTTAGGGGGTGGAGGGGAGAGAGAGAGGGAGGGAAGGAAGGAGAGAGAGAGAGAGAGAGAGAGAGAGAGAGAGAGAGAGAGCGAGAGAGAGAGGGAGGAACGAGAGAGATTGTGAGCAATGGGCACACATGATCACAGAGGCTGACAAGTCTCAGGGTGAGCTGGTAAGCTGGGGGTGCAGGGGGGCTTTCAGTCTGAAGGCCAGCAGGATGGAGCCCCAGGAGGACCTGTGCCAGTGTGAGTCAGAAGGCAGAAGAAAACCCACGTCCCAGCTCCACGGCAGATGGTGCTCCCCTTGATCCAGGGTGAGGGTCAGCCCTGTGTTCTATCCAGACCCTCAGTGGATTAGATGAGGCCCATCCACCTTAGGGAGAAGAATCTTCCTTACTCAGCCTACTGATTTACATGTTACTCTCATCCAAAGCTTTCTCACAGACACACCCAAAACAATGTTTAACCAAATAGCTGGGCGCCCTGTGGCCCAATCAAGTCAACACACGAAGTTATCACAGTTGCCCTACAGCTGTGACCTGCTTGGCTGGTGTTACTGCTTCTGTTCAGATTGCTCAACGTTCATTAATTCTCTTCCTTCTTCCCTCCCTTCCCTCCCTTTCTTCCCTCCCTTTCTTCACGTGTGTGTGTGTGTGTGTGTGTGTGTGTGTGTGTGTGTAAAGGTTTCCCAAGGACTCTTCCTCAGGCAGAAGCCCTGGATAAAGTTTATAAAATAGACACCGTGATTAATCTGAAGGTGCCCTTTGAGATCATTAAGCAGCGCCTCACAGCTCGCTGGATTCATGCAAACAGCGGCCGAGTCTACAACATCGATTTCAACCCTCCCAAACGTGTGGTGAGTAGTTGTGATAGAACTGGCCTTCCACAGAGCAGTCCCCTTGCTCTCACAGGCAGAGGTTTTATGACCTTGGAAAACCCTTCCTGCCCCAAACTCCTAAGGGTACAGCCTCAGGTTCTGGTGTGGTCCTTGTCTGGTCCACTCAGTTTGTTAGTGGAGGTGTCCCAGGAGTGACAGGGGTTTGTTATTCCTTCGAAAGCATTTATTGATTTTCTCCTCTGTGTCAGGGGCTGTGTTTGGAGTTGGGGCCATAGGATTTAGCGACACCTTGGCTTATTTAGGTCAACATAAGAACGCCCAAACCTATAGAGAATTTCTATAAAAATCGACACAAACAGGATACGCCTGGAAACAAGATCCCAACAGACTGAGAAAAATGCTCCCCAGAATCGCAGGGGACAGCTTCTTTCAAGCATTTGGAATTAAGGAGGGAACATCAGGAAGATGATAAGAAGGTGGGGATTGGATTATAGGATGGTTAACAAGATTATATGCTCTTTTGAGGGTGGCTATCAGGGATCTGAGTCATTGCAAAGGTGTGTCACCTAGATGCTCAGAAACAATGGACAGGGCTTACTTAAGGCAAAGATAAACTTTTTCCTAAAGAAGTTATATGCCTAGGGCATGACTACCCACTGTGACCTGCCCAGTTAGGAGTTTATGATCGGGTCACCCTGCGAGGGTACTTTTTGCAAGACCCCTTTTTCATCCACGACATGAAATGATTTTGAGGCTGCTTAGAAAACCTTTTAACTCTAAGGACTGACATGGCTCTGTGCTGCAATGATCTGGGTTTGGATTTTATTCTGTTTATTTAAAAGTACATTTAAAAAATATATATTTTATTGTTTTTTTACAGAGAGGAAGAAAGAGGGATAGAGTTAGAAACATTGATGAGAGAGAATCATTGATCAGCTGCCTCTTACACACCCCCTACTGGGGATATGCCCGCAACCAAGGTACATGCCCTTGACCAGAATCGAACCTGGGACCTTTCAGTCCGCAGGCAGACGCTCTATCCACTGAACTAAATCGGTTTCGGCTAAAAGTACATTTGTGTGCTTGGTGTTTGCGTAGATAAGAAATCTGTTTTAAAAATCCTGTAACTGCTTATAAGAATGTTTGACAGCAGCGTGCCCTGACTCCCATGCAGGGCCTCGACGACCTGACCGGGGAGCCCCTCGTGCAGCGGGAGGACGATAAACCGGAGACGGTGGCCAAGAGGCTGAAGGCTTACGAAGCTCAGACAGAGCCAGTCCTGGAATACTACCAGTGAGTCTGTTGCTTTTCAGAACTTCTCTGCAGCGTCAAGCACTAAGGCAGTTTTCCATCATCCATAGCTTTACAGCTAAAATGTTAAAACATCAGAAGATCCAGTTCAAATTGAATTAGACCATAAAGGCAGTGCGTTAGCATGTGTAATAGAGAAGTCCAGATGGTAGGCTGGGCTTCCGTCATGCTTCAGTTTGATTCGTTTTGCCATTCTCAGCTTTGTATCGACTTGGACAGGTGTCAGGAACAGCCTTTTCCTGCAGGGCTGAGGGGTCACCTTTTCCCAGCGAACACAAGCCCTGAGTGTCACACAGACTGAACCTATGGGAACAGCCACTGTGGTCAGAGAATGCTCTGCAAAAACTGATGGAGGCAGAGATTTCTGCCCATCCCTAAAGCAGTCACTGGGGTGGGAGTGACTGGTCCACACCTGGAGCTGGGAGTGGGTCCGTCTCACCCAGATTCTGCTGTCTGGTGGAGGGAGGACTGGAATGAATGCTGGGGAAGCAACCCTAATAAGATCCACTTCCTAAGCTTATAGGACAGAAAACTCAAGTGGCAACCAATTCTCAGATCATTTATTTGGTTAATCATCTTTAAAAGCTTATATTCTTTTTTTCTTTTTTCTTTTTTTAATATGTGTTTATTGATTTCAGAAAGGAAGAGAGAGGGAGAGACAGAAACATCAGTGATAAGAGTGAATCATCAATTGGCTGTCTCCTGCATGCCCCACACTGGGGCTTGAGCCCAGAACCCAGGCATGTGCCCTGACTGGGAATCAAACCGTTTGTTTCATAGGTTGATGCTCAACCACTGACCCACACAGGCCTGGCTAAAAGCTTATATTTGTAACGTAGTTTTGTTTGCCCACAACAGAATATGGTATCTATACTAAATAATATTTAACTCAGGCTAAGAAACAATCCAGTTTCCTTTCCGTCCCCACTCCTTTTATTCATTCACTTACTGAACAATGACACAGTTGTCAGGACAGAACAGTGTTGTGTTTAGGGCACAGACTCTGGAGCCAGACTAAGTTCAAATCCCAGCTCCTCCTTTATTATCTTGGTCTTAACCTGTTTTCTTCTCTGCAGAATGGGGGTGCGAATAGAGGTTGAAAGATTGAGTTCACATGTCTAACTCTCAGAATTATTTCTGACACGCAGCATTTTATAATGATCAGTTGTTATTGTTATAATAGGGAAAGTATGCAGTGAAACTAAAATAATAGTCTGCAAATTGTTTTAATAGATATTTCTGGAGGTTTAAATTATAAGGGAGTTGGCGATCCACTTTCTACAGTAGCTGTTACAGTAATTTTGTGATTTGTGTAATGAGGCTGGCTCTGCAGATGGCCAGTACTGGGGCCCTGGGCAAGGGATTCAACCTCTATGCCACAATTTTTTCATTTGTAAAATCAGGGCATATTAAATAGTACCTCCTTTATAGGGTCATTAAGGGAATTAAGTGAGAGAATCCACATAAAGACTTATGGCAGCCCTGGCACTATTAAATCACTCAGTGCTAGCTATCATTTACCCTGCCCAAACCCAAGAAACTCTCACTTTCTGTCTGGGGGTGAAGCAGAGAGCTGGGTAAATAACATTTATCATAAAATGTGCTTATTCCAATCATGGACCTAATTCACATCAGCAAAAGGGAAATGTATTGGTCCTGTAACTAAAATGTCCAGAGGTGAATGCTGGGTCCAGCTTGTTCAGTGGGCTTGGGCTCCTCACTCTCGGCGCCATTTTCCTGTGTTGGCACAAACTCAGGTGGGCTCTCCTTGCCTAAGTCCCTCAGCTCCTGCTTACCGCACTTAACCTCCTGCCAGTTCAGCTACCCCAGCAGAAGAGAGCCTCTTGGCCAACAGAAGTCCTAGAGTGGGTACTGATGAGCTCATCATGTCCCCCCGTGAAGCTGGGAAGTGGGGACAATCCCACCAGAATCTTGTGACCGTTTCCGTAAGCCAGAGGACACCACTGAAACCAAAACCCAGGTTTTCCAATGCCCAGCCAAATGCCTCTCTTTCGTGATCATGCAGACTTTTACTTATGGAGACCCTACATCAACATTATCATCCTATCTAATAAAAGGGTAATATGCAAATTAACTGTCACTCTGTAACAAAATATGGCGGCGCCCAGTTCTCTCAGCCTCGCCAGAGTCCCCCAGTCCTGTGGGGCGGAGGGTGGCCGCTGAGAGCATGAGTGGCCTGGCGGAATGCTTGCTTCCTTCCTTGCCGTGCCCGGAGCCAGAGTGGACACAGTCAGGGACGGGGGGCTAGCCTGCAGCCTCTGTGGCTGAGTATAGACCCGGAGAGGAGATGGAGGGCCCTCCTCTCACAGTAGCCACACAGCTCCCTCCCGACCCCCATGGAAGCAACAAGGCTTCCTCTCGCCTCCTGCGGAAGCAGCACAACTCTCACCCAGCTCCCATGGGTGCTGGCAGCTCGCTTCCGCCTCCCATGGAAGCTGTGTGACTCCCATTGGTGCATTGTATTCCGCCAGCACCCTTGGAAGCAGCGGGCAGCCTACAGCGCACGATATCATGTGATGGGCTACGAGTCTTATATAAAAAAAGGCTAATATGCAAATTGTCCCCTCTATTGGGAGTTTGACCAGGAGGTACAGCCGGCCAGCCAACCACCCCCGGCCCGTCCCCCTGGCTGGCCCTCCCCACCCGAATGGGGTTAGGGTTGGCTGGTCAACCTCGCAGCTGATTGGGCCAGGCCAGCTGGACCCCACCCATGCATGAATTCCTGCACTGGGCTTCTAGTCTTTTAAGAATCACTTTGAAAAAGTTTTTGAGGAAGACTCAGACTTGTGTTTTTTTTGTTTTGTCACCTTTAGGAAAAAAGGAGTGTTGGAAACATTCTCAGGAACTGAAACCAACAAGATCTGGCCCCATGTATATGCCTTCCTACAAACAAAACTGCCACAAATAAACCAGAAGTCATCTGTTACTCCTTGAGGAAAAGCCGGTGTAACTAGTAAGATGAGCAGAAGCTCCTTGTCCTAAGACTCAGACATATATGAATTCTTCAGAAATTTTGTTAGTTCATTTCTACTGATTTTATTCTGGAAATTAAGATGTGCCAAATGAGTCAGATTCTAAGATTTGTCTTTTGACATCATCTAGTATGTTTTATCCAGTTATCTTCGATAGGTGTGCAATTTTAAAACATCAAATATGTCTAATAAAACTTTTGAAAAGTCTTTTAGAGCATAACTAAAAGAGCAACTGGTTGCACTCTAACTTTTGTTCAGAGATTAAGTGGTTAATAACATTTCCTTATTTTTCTGGAAAAGTAAAGAAAAAAAATTCCATGTCACTTGGGAAAAGTCTCATCAGAGGCTTTTGCTTAGAGTGATGCCAGAAAAGCCATACCTAGCTCCGTGGTACACTGTGTCTTATAAAATCCCAGAAAAAAAGCAACTGGATTTATAGATTAGTTGCAGGATGCAAATTCACTGCTGCCTCTACATGAAGAGATTTATAAACTAGCCATATATGTTGTACTTACTTTGTTGTAAATGTACCTTCAAGGTTACTCAGAATTTTCAATTTGCTATAAAAATATATCAGTTAGCATATAGGAAAGTATTTATATGAGGAATTGACTTAAGTCCTGCAGAAAGACTGGAGTTGAATTTACAAAGGAAAATGTAAAGACCTATGTTTTCAGATATTACTTTGGTTAAGAGATGTGCTTTTGGACCTACTTGCCAGTTTCTCTTTTTAATCAAAATGTCTGATCTGCCTTGATGAGTAACATTCAAGTAGGAAAAAAATTTTTTTTTTAAATAAAAAACCCACACCCATGGCACTAGGTAAAGCAAGCATGCGCTGTCATTGGGAAACAGATCACGTTCGTCTGGGGGAAATTCCCTTGACAGATGTAGCAATCATAATTAACTGGTATGGCAATGAAAGGAATGCCAGGACAAGGAACTAACTGAGTTTGTTGAAGGAGTTTATTCCTAACATTCCCTGCTATCCTATTTTAAGGGTAAAGAACTTTGCTGATGAATGTCACCTAAGCAGCTGTTCTAAATAAAAAATGTGATTCCTTACGGGGGCCACAAGGATGCATGCGTGTATGTACTGTGGTCTGGTAGGAGGAGTGGAGCAGTATCTTCAATGTATTCTGACTTTGCTTGGTGCCAAATCAAATGAAACAAGTCCTTGTACAAGCTGTTATTAACAGAAAATATGATGTTTTATTCTAGGCACTTAAAATTCAACTGCCAATTAGTGGTTCTTATGTATTTTATGGGGAGGATAAAACTTTTCCTTTCTTTTGATTTTTTTAAAAACTCAATTTGATCTTTCAAAATGGACCAAGGCTTTTTAAAAGGATTACAGCAAACAATCTGTTCTCTGTAAAACTTTCTATAATGTCTTATTTGAATGTTACTATTATGTGCTTTCTAAAAAAATGTGGGCTATTAAACTTATGAATTATCACCAGTTTACCAGGAATACGTTGGTATTAAGGCATAGAACACAGTTCCAGTTTAGAACTGTGGGTATCACTTTGTCTTTGGTAGTTCACAGCGCCCACTCCTTCCCACCTACTGTTCTCATGCCCTGATGACTCGCTGGCTTCTGAATTAGTGAGTGGTTTCTAATAACTCTTAAAACAGTACACAGGCTGCTTTCATTTCATGTTATACTTTGCCTCATGCTATAAAGAACTACAGTCATACTGGCCTTCTTGACACCCTTAGGAGATTTGGAATAAAAAACAGGCAGAAGAACATGGTTATGAAATAAAGGACTCTTCTTCCCTATCACCGTTCCCTCCCTCCTCCCAAAATACCAAACCCAAAGTTTTGCACATAGAGCCATTATTTTATTTTATATAAAACACTTGCATTATTGTTTTTTTCTTTATTAAAGCAAACAAAAAGAACTTGTTTTATGCTGAGTTAATATCATAGACCAGCAGTCACCACCAGGTGGATCCGCAGACCACTGGTGGTCCGTGAGGTAGACAGTTCTGATGAAGATTATCATTGCTGAGGATCGCATCTGCTAAAAAAATGATGCTGTAATGACATGATTTATGTACTATATGGAAATGTTTGGAGCTGAATGCCATTATTAGAGGCTACTATGTCTTAAAGGATAATGAGAACTGTATTTAACTCCATTACCCTATTTTCTGGAGTACCACAGTTATTTTGGTGCAACTTATATAAGCCAAGTATGTTGTGGGAAATGAATATTGGCAGTTAATACATCAGAAAATTTATTCCTCAATTCCATTTGAAATGGGTTAAATACTTGCTTAAATTCCTAAACCCCAGCCCACAGCTAACATCTCCCCCCCCGCCCCCCAACACACACACAGCTATTCATAATGGCATTCCAGTAAAGTATTTGGATACTCATTGTGGCAAAGCTTACCTGTTAAAAACAAATCATGCTAATTACAGACCTCAAATTAAACTGTTGTAATACTTGCTACTATTAGCAAGAATAAATTTGTATTTTTTGAAACATATTTCATAGAGGAAGAGGGAGAGATAGAAACATCAAAGATGAGAATCATTCTTGGCTGCCTCCTGTACAACCCCTTCTGGGAATCAAGCCCATAACGGAGGCAACTGCCCTGACTGGGAATCGAACAGTGACCTCCTGTTTCACAGATTGATGCTCAACCACTGAGCCACACCAGCTGGGCTAAATTTGTATTTTAAAACATATTTATAAGTTGTGTCTTTTCATTGACAAAAGAAAATATTCCCAGACACTAGTAAACTGCAGAAACAGCTTTCTTGTCTTCACAATCCAAGATTTTGATTTTGGCAGTTACAATTTAAAAATGTTTAAATCCATTCAAAATAAAGTCTAGCTGTGCATAAAGCTTTTGAGAAAAGCTGATATATTTTGTAGTGTTCATAACTCAATCTCCCTTTTCTTAAAAAGAAAGCTCTCTAGCCCCACTGGTGTTGCTCAGTAGCTGAGCATTGACCTGTGAACCAAGAGGTCATGCACGGTTCAATTCCCAGCCAGGGCACATGCCTGGGTTGCAGGCCCCACCCCCAGTGGGGGGCATGCAGGCGGCAGCAGATTGATCTCTCATTGTTGATGTTTCTATGTCTCTCTCTCTCCCTTCTTCCCTAAAATCAATAAAAAAGATACACACACACACACACACACACACACACACACACACATATATATCAAGTAAAGTTAATCTGTCATGCCACACTGCACTTTGGAAGGATTTTACCGAAGTGTAAATCAATCTGGCGATGTGTCATATTTCGCCAAAGGACTCTAAATAAATGTTTGAAAAGCAAGCAGCACGAAGAATCATGCTGTTTAAAAACACACAAAAGGAGCATTAAAAAAGAATAGAGATCAGGAGAGACAAGATGGCAACCGATCCGTAGGGGTGTCGAACTCAATCAGAGAAGGGGCCAAAATCTAAAATCCAGCCTAAATCGCGGGCCGAATGGTTTACTGAACAGTCATAAACTGTCATTGTGATGGAAACGCAGCGGAGTGCAGTGATGACAGCGCGGTGCGGGCCACATTGCAAGGCCTGGCGGGACGGATTTGGCCCGCGGGCCTTGTGTTTGACACATGTGGATCAGAGGGACTTGTTCTGAGCCTGGTCCCAGAACAGATAGAATCGGCTTCTAAGAGTCGCTCAGGGAGTATAGATTGGCAAGCTAAGGGGTGGCAGAACTCTAAAAGGAGGTAAGGGTCCTCTGGACAGGATTTCCTGACCAAGCAGCCAGCGCTGCGGCGGGCGGCGGCGGAGACCTCCCCGGAGCTACGGGCTCAGAGGGAAGGCTGCGCCATCTCACCAATAAAAAAGGACCTTCTCTGAGGCCTGGAGAACCCACAGCAGAGGGGACCATCGAGCAGCTGTGACATCCCAATCGGTGGATTCAAGGGAGTTCTTCAATCACCCACGGAAAGGAGAAAGAAAACCACATCAGACATCCTGAAAAGAGAGGCCATGGGCAGACAAAGAAATAGCCCGCACATGAAAGAAAAGCAGGCACCACCAGAAAAGGAAGTAAACGAGTTAGAGGCAAGCAACCTACCAGAGCAGGAATTCAGAGTAATGATCATAAGATGGCTAAAAGAAACAAAAGATCTAGGAATTTTTATTTTGCTATTTAGAAAAGATCTAACTTCAAGTCTAATTAAGACTTATGAGAATGGTTGTGACATATCAGATGGTAAGCAATTTTAATCAACTTTAATTCATCTTTGTATCCTTCCACTAGCTTATGTAGCGCAAATACTTCTGACCTGTGAAACAGTACATACATGTCCATTATAGATGGGAAATGGATGCATAGAATTTAATAAAACATGTATGATATAGAGGCAAAATTTAAAAGCTCTTCCTCCTACCAAAAAAGAAAAAGCATAGCTAAAACCCAGCCAAGTTCATTTTTTTTTTAAATATATTTTATTGATTTTGTACAGAGAGGAAGGGAGAAAGATAGAAAGCTAGAAACATCGATGAGAGAGAGAGTCATCGATCAGCTGCCTCCTGCACACCCCCTACTGGGGATGTGCCCGCAACCAAGGTACATGCCCTTGACCGGAATCGAATCCGGGTCCCTTCAGTCCCCAAGCCGACGCTCTATCCATTGAGCCAAACTGGTCTTGGCCATTTCTATCCCACATCAATTTAAGAACCGAGATGCATGACTGACTTTGAGAACAGTAAATTGACATTTTTATTTTTTCAAGATTAATAACTTCAGGATCACTTGGTCTAAACCTACAATCAATTTTTTATTCTGTAAGAAAATCTATTTACTAGATTCATGTTCTTTGGGCAGCATGTTAATTCCCTTTTAAAAGAGCAATAGGAATGCTAATCTGGAAGATTTTCCTAAAGGTATAGATCATAAACTAATGAGGCAAAACTTGAAAGAACCCATTAATGATACAATTGGATACTAATGGTTTAATTGGATGAAAATGTTACCCATCTGTCTCTCCTAGAGAATAATTTTAAATCAGCATTATTTCCACTACCATTGATAAAATGAGTTAACAGGGAATAAATGGAGTGATAGCTATTTTATTTTAAAAACATTTTATTAGAATATTAATTTTATCAATTGAAACAAGAATCCTTGATGGATAGATTTTTTAAAATATCTCTTTATTGATTTCAGAGCAAAGGGAGGGAAAGGTAAAAATATCAACAATGAATCATGGATCAGCTGCCTCCTGCATGCCCCCTACTGGGGATCCAGCCCGCAACCTGAACATGTGCCCTTGACCAGAACTGAACCTGGGACTCTACACTCTATCCACTGAGCCTACCTGTCTAGGGTCTTGATGGATGTTTTTTAAAAAATATATTTTTATTGATTTCAAAGAGAAAAGGGAGAGTGACAGAGAAATACAAACATCAATAATGAGTCATTGATTAGCTGCCTCCTGCACGCCCCCTACTGGGAATGGAGCCCACAACCCGGGCATGTGCCCTTGACCAGAACTGAACCTGGGACTCTTCAGCCTGCAGGCTGACGCTCTATCCAGTAAGCCAAACTGGCTAGGGCTTGATGGATATTTTGATGTCAAAGATATTTCACTCATTTTTGCACTTTCCATGGTTTGTGTCAAGAGAAAACTGTCCAACCTGAAATACGATCCCTTTGTTTCCTATACTCTTACTATTAAGAAACAGAAAAGACAACATTTCTCTTAACAGGAGTTCTTAGTACTAAAGAAAGAAGAAACAAATGTCAATTTACTGTTCAATATGTAAAAATTATAGTTTTTAAGTGCAAATCATGGCATCAGTCAGTGGCTTCTAAAATAAATCCAATCATACCTTTATATTCAAAACATAGAACACAGTACCCTTTGCAAGTTAAAAATAGATATAACTTTTAAAAAGCTCTTCAATACCTGTTTTAGAAAACAAAAAACCCTTGAAGCATTGTTTACTCAGTACTTTGATAATATCTCTTCTAGTTTAATCATTACCTCGAACTTAAAAAAGGCAAAATGAAATTCAAAATAATTTGGATGTTTATAGGCAAGTGAAGGGGGAAAGTGAAGTTGAGGAACAGAAAGTATCATTTCTGTGAAACTGAGGATGTTACTCCTGTGTACATTATTCTCTATTTGATAGGAAGGGAAAAATAAGAAGTTGCTCCAGTACAGGAAAACAATACAAAACAAAAAGCTCTGTAACTAGGTCATTGGTAAAAATAAAATAAAATAAAATAAAATAAAATAAAATAAAATAAAATAAAATAAAAATGTATAGGCTGATGAATACTACCATATAAGTTAATCAAACATTTTATTATAGAGCATATCTTTATATCAAAAGCACAAAAGAGTTTTATTCGGAAAACGGGTAAGACTGTGATGTTACATAAGTATGATTCAATAATTCCAGTCCATTTCTATGGATACTAAGTGCCTTATCACCCCGGTTAGTAAAAACAAGGTGCAAATGAGGCCATGGTTACAAGTCTGATCATCATATGTGTCCCTTAGCAATATTTGGTTTTACAAGTTGAGACATGTATACCTAATCTCAGTCATCTTCCAAATGTTTGCTACTACGGGTAGTCTCAATGGGATTGAACCAAAGACTATACCCAATACAAATCAAAGCTCATGTTCCTATGTCAGAAGATTAATCCTCACATAATGATAGCATAATTAGCACTGTCATCTAATTCCAAATAAAATGAATCATCAAATATCCTCTTATATTTGAAGTGAATTATATTGGAAGTAGTAAAACTCAGCAGCATTCTATGGTAACTGAGCTAGAGAGAAATGACAAATGCAGTAAAAGCCATCATTATCCACAAGGAATACCAAATTTGTAGAAGTAAATAGTTGGCAGCTCAAGGCAGTTAGCTCTACAAGCTTTCTCTTGACTTTTAAAAAAGTCCTTGGCTACATACATCAGAGTGAAACGAACAATAAACCCAATTTAAAAAATCAGATTCTTCCTGTTTGTTCTTATAGGCCATTAATATTTTTTAAAAACTTGCTCCCTGAGAGATCCCAGACTATGTCAAGTAAAGAAATTAAGAGTGAGCTTGAAGTTGCTTTTATTAAAAAACAAAACAAAAAACCCCCTCTATATTAGCTTTTTCACTTTTTAAATCACTAAATCCCTTACTATTAAAAAAGTCAAAGGGTAAAATCAACTCCTAAGGAATACAGTTTTGAAAATACTTAAGGGGTTAATTTATTGTCTATAAATTTGGTATTAGAGCAAAAAATCTAACTGATGGTGCCAAAAATACAAATGTATTATTATTTTAAGGGGAAAGACTGTTTTAATTTGTATCACCCAACTTATTTAGTAAAGTAGATTATCAACTACTGACTTATTGCTTTTAATATGATGAAACACCAGATGTGACAGCTAAATTAGCAGTAGGATACAAGGACATTTTTATCTTTAATCATTTTTGTAGAGTAGGGCTTGTATACATCCATGTAAAAAGAGACTGTAGCAGATACCTCCTAGAATCAACCAGTTCTTGTAAACATTGCATTTGTGCAGATTTTCATACTTTGATTCTAAAATTAAGAACAATAAGATTAAAGGCAAATTTAGTAGCAAAAAAACAAAGTCCAGTTTGACTCTTGCAACATATGGTACCACTCCTCTCTTCAGAAAAAAGAACCAAAACAAAAAAATCTAGCAGCGCATAAAAAAAATTTTTACAAAACATTTCAGTACTCTTTTCCCCTCCCATCAAAAACCGAACAAAAATAAAGTGCAGCACCCATAAAAGTGTCAAGAAAATAGCCAAGTTCTTCCTTTTTTATAACAAAATAGTACTTGGCCTCAGCAGTCTTAACCAAGTTATACAGTGTCCATCATTTTGGATTCATCATCTTCTTTATGTACCACTGAGTTTAAACTGCAGAGAGCTGTATTGATAGAATACGGAAGATAATCTGGATTCTGAAAAGAAAAGTATAGAGAAGAAACAATGGATGATAACTAGTTTATGCCAGTATATGCACATACATATTCTGCTTCACGTTCTGTTTTCTCTGTAGCGTAGGAGAGTGGGCAAGAAGAAAGACTTTGAAGTCAGACTTAGGTTGAAACCCAAGATAAAGAAAAATAAACTATTACCACTTAACCCAAAGAGATGTGATAAGGACAAAAAGATGTATGTGAAAAATACAAATGTAAAAAATACTTTTTTTCTTTTAATAAAACTATGTAACTTTAATTATTTAATTATACAAGGCTACATCTTCCTTGTAATTATATGTAGCTATTGAAAATTTAAAATATAAATGACTTTAAATCAGAAATGTATTTTGAAGATTATTATCTAATTAGAACAGTAAATACTAAAAATACAACACTTGAATTAGGAAAAACCTATATACTGAGTAAAAATTATAGCTATCTTTAGAGTTTAATTTGGTTTCTCAAAGGTTAAAACAAACTCAAGTGAGAAATCTTTACTCTTCTGAAAAGTACTCAGACCTGTATTTTAAAAACTGAGTGTAAAAGAAGAGTTTAATTTAGATTTTAGTTATTTTGTAAACACAATAACAACTCATAAATGTTCTATTTGTCCATTTCTAAAACTAGGAACAGAAAACCTTATTCAATGCATGCAAAAATGAAACCACTGAGTGTTAAAGCACTATGATCTAGGAGTTTAGATAAGTCTTCCTCAAGAATTCGATTTTCTTTACTCAATTGTTCTGAATACTGCCAGCAATTTAAGAGTTTTACTACCTATCACCTAGTTTCATTGATTTCATTTAATAAACACCAGCAAGGAAAATAGTCCAAATAGGGGATACATGTCTCAAACCTCTCTAAATAAAAATACAATACTTTGCCTTAGCTGGTTTGGCTCAATAGATAGAGTGTCAGCCTGCGGAATGAAGGGTCCTGTGTTTGACACTGGTCAAGGGCACATGCCAGGGTTGTGGGCTCGATCCCCAGTAGGGGGCGTGCAGGAGGCAGCCTATCAATGATTCTCTCTCATCATTGAGTTTCCATTTCTCTCTCCTTCTCCCTTCCTCTTTGAAATCAATAAAAATAGATGTTAAAAATTACATATATAAATAACACTTTGTGATTTTTTTTTTAACTTTAAAAGTAAAAAAGCTAGCCAGAAATTGGATTATACTCAATCAGGTCTATATGAAGGAAATGGCCCTAATAACTGACTGAGGTGTGGAACACTAAACATTGGACCCCAGCTTTGCCTCTACCACTTAATATAATGCAAACTTCAGAGAGAAAATAATTTATCACAACTTAATAGAATTAAAAGCTAGCATATAGGATAAGCCTAATACTAATTATTACATATGTCTTTATTAAGAAGCCTTGTTTTAGTTTTCTCAAAACTAATGATAATGATATTTGGCTTATTTCTCAACATTGTTGTCAATCTAAAAAATGAAATTAAAAGCTAAAATGTTACCCAAATTTAAATTATATAAAAATTATTAATACTTGCATTACATTATCCCATTCTCTACAGAAATAGAATGCCAAGATTTAATTCCAAAGTTCTTCAGAACAAAAGTCTCTATTAAGACCAGGCTCCAGTTTTCCTTGAGAGTTGGCTGAGAAGATTCTCCAGAATTCATCTAACCCATCTTTCTAAGAACTGCACATCATCATGAAGAGACTTAAATACACCTAACCATAATCTATACTTAAATTCCTCTGATTACCCCATATTCTCATCTAGTAACATTCTCAACTATTTCTTGTCCCATTGACCAGTTCTTCCCAAGAGCACATAACTGTCTTCTCCTATTTCTTATATATGATTCAAGCAGTTATGGTATAAATAAATAAGCGGTGAAGGAGGATAGAAATCCAGGATTAGAATATTAGCTTCATCATTTATTTTATTCAGGCAAATTACTTAATTCTCCACAGTTTACTTATCTATAATATGAGTGAAAAAGAATCATAGGGCTTTTGAGATCATTAAATGATACAACATATAATAGTGTTTTGCAACCTATAAACTGATATAATAAAAATGGGGTTTTATTATGGTAAGCTTTTCTTCCAAGTCTTCTCTCAGTTGACAACTTAGCCCCTCAGGTTGCCTCTCATCTTATCATATTTCCCTCACCAGTTGATAGTCCTATGCATCTACAATAGCTGAAATCTTATCCAGCCCTTCTCTCCCTCAGAAGGAGTAAACTAGGATGCTCTTCTCCCACCATGATGAATTAAATCTAAATAATCCTGGTAATGTCATCAATTCA